TGGCCCTTTCTCAAAGCAGGCTTTGTAATTAAAACGTAACATACAGCATCATCTTGCTTTTTCTAACATTCCTCATGTTTTGTCTTTCATTGCAAATGCTTCATTGACTAATTCTCAGTTGCTTAGGCTACATTTTTTTCCAGTATTGCTGACTTTTAACCCACTGAAGGGTGTCTCTACACTTATTTCAACCTGGCAGCTCAATAGTTTCCCTGGAAGTCATCTGCTTTTATTTCAAAAATCTTTTAACCACAGAACATGAACCAAATTAAACATCACCAGGTAACAGAGACAGAAGTGGGCTAATTTCTGGGCAGGCACTGGAGGTAGCTCTGCTATCAGACTGGAGCTAAGTGACATGGATGTGAGAGGGCACAACCTGTTTGGTCATCTTGCAGAGATTGCACCCCAGTGCCTTTACTTCCCTCTGCAAACCCTTGCCTGGACTCTTATTAGACATGACTGCTAAGCTCCATGTGAAGATTTATGCAGCAGAAGCTTCACTTTATGCCTTAGGTATGATCTCAAGTTAAGCAGAAATTTAAGCTTTTGCAGAATTGTGTCTTTTTAATGATTTGATTCCGTTCCTGTGCTTATTTGAGCACAAGTCCAACATGTATGTGTGTTATGACCAGCTATGAACAAAGATCGACTTCTTCTCTAGAAGACAATGAAAAGCAGCAGAAAACAGCAATATATCTACTGTATAATGCCTAGGACATTGCAGATGTTAAAGCAGCTCGTTGTTTCTGCATCTGGAACAAGTAGGTCACACATAGTTATTATACACACTGCTGAACACGAAGCAGCCAAAACCCGTGTAATGTATGTGAGACTTCAAACCACCTTTTAGTACTTTATAGCAGTACAGCATCTTGTTTGCAAATGCTCTGCTTGAGAGCAACTGATGAAAGGGGGAAGGGACCCAGAGCTGACTGACCTAATTGCTGCATGGATTGAGAAGCTGGCAAAATCATTAGTTTCTTTTATATGTTTTCTTTCTATACTATAATAAAGATAAATATTGATTGCTGGGGCAGTATTGATTGCAGGGGTCGCTGCAGATGGCAGCTGCATGATTTGCACAGATATCTCCTTTGTACAGAGCCAATTATTTGCATGAGAATGTGGTTTCACCCTCCTCAGTGCTTCTGGCTGCTCGCTTGCCTTACAGGAGCATTACCCAAACTGAATGTACCAGTGATTAGCAGTAAAATATGAAACCAGGGACTGAAAGAGTTCATCTTCATAATACCTTTTGTGTATGGGCTTGTCTGCTGTGGGTAAGTGGAGTTTATTGTCCCAGCAGTGTGGACAGAGGCACAGGACACAAGGACCTGCTGCAGTGTCACTGCCTCACCCAGGAATGCCACTTGGGAATGCCACTCCCAGCTAGAGGGCTAGTTTCTAGCCCTCCCACTAGAAACCTGCGTCTTACTGTGGGCAGTGCTGCACTTCCACTGCTGATATTGGAATTCAAAGGGAAAGTATGCATATTTAACCCTAATTCATCATTTTGATTTTGATTAAGTCTGCAAGTCAGAGGTTTGCAGGCTTTAATCTTGTTTTAAGAAAATACTCCTGTCTTCCTCCATTGTCAGCATTTTCCAACTGGAAACTCAAGCAAAGGATCTTTCTTATTATTTATCTCCTTCCACTTTGGACATACTGGTGGACCTGAAATAGCTACCCAGTATTTATCCAAACCATGGCTTGTCCAGTGTAGGGAGTGCTCATATTTCCTCAGTGGCCCATAAGAAGGAGATTAATGCTGGAACCCAGGTTTCTGACGTGGCTCTGCACTGACACTAAGCCACTCCAGCACAGAGTGGGCTCTCCATTTGGTAAGCACTATTTATGTACAAGTGAGTGTTTCATAGATGCTTTTTGGAAGATCTGAGCAATACACCACGGTTCAAAATGTTACGCCTCGTTCTTCAATTCCTTTTAAGTATATCTCTCGGGGTGTTATGTTGAGTAGCCCTGTCTTACAAAAATCAATTATTCCTCAGCCAGCTCAGGAATAAAACCCAAAGCAAGCAACACCAAATGTCTGATTTACCAATAGATTGCAATCCCGTGCTAAAGAGCGTAGCCACTGCCCTGCTTTAAATATTCATGAAGCCCACTGGTGCAAAATGCATTAAAGGTGGGAATAATGCCAGTAAATACACGATCCTCTTAGTGACAAGAGGCTTTCACATATTAAAGCAGCAAGATGTTAAAGACTTTCAAGTGAACAGTCTTTGTTTTTAACTTAGAGAAAGAGATTCACTAATGGAATGCCAAATTGCATTCACTCTCATGATACTTGACTGCAGAATAGGATAATAACACATGTGTGCTTCTGCATGCCATGGAAAACCTGTTATTACAGAGGTTTCTTTCCTGCCTTTTCTCTGTACTTTCCAGAAAATGTTCACACAAATCTTACCCCTTCAACTAATCTTCTGTGTGCCAGCCCCCCATTAGAATCCCAGGAGTCTAGCCATTAACAGATTGGTTTTACGCAAATAAAAAGATTTAAAAATAATGGTGACACAGTACAATAGCACAATTTAGATGAGTGACAACTGGCAATGAATAACCAAAAAAAAAAAAAAAAGACAAGAGTTAAACTGGTCTGCAAAATATAGATTGTGACAATTCAGAAGAATGTCAATTGTCACTTTAAATCATCAGCAGCCCAGCCACATCTGCTATCACACCTGTGCTCTCTTTTCTGATCTACTCTGGCACCCTAGAAACAGTAGGCGAACAGCCAGCCTTGCATCTCCAGCTCTCTGAAGTCTGGCTCTGCTACCAGCCTGCATCCCTCTTACCTGGGGCAGATGAGGCACTGACCCTGCACCCTCAAACCAGTCCTGACTGACAGGGACTCGCTGCTGCTGCTGGGATTGACATCCTGTAATAGCAGCTCCCAGGACCACCAGGAACTGCTGACCTTGTTTGCATTTTACAAACCTCATCAGTCAGGTGAGAGAGCTAAAGGAGCCCTGCTTACAACCTCCATACGTAGTCCACTTTTATTCTAGCAATGAAAATAATGAAAAGCTGACAGCCAGAAGGCTCATTGTTTAGGAAAATGCTTATCCAAGGCTAATCAGGGGGCAAGGACGGGAAAACAGAGCTCTGTTACGGCATATGAAGTTGTTTACTTCAAAGCAGAGGTTTTTAGATGGGTAATCAGCTTTCCTGCCTCCTTACAGTTTGTCTGGAAGCATCTTCCCAGTGCCAGCCTTTCCCTGCTCCCAAAGCACCCCCCTCTGCAGAAAGAGTGCCTGTCAATAAAGACTGAGCACCTCAGCTCCTGCCATCATTGTGCTGCTCTGTAAAAGCCAAGTTGTTTCAGAGGGGAGGAATTAGATTGTGCAAAAGCTGCAGTGGGAACACTGGGGTAGGTTGGATCAGGCAGTTTTACCAAGCTATTTCTGGAAAAAAATAAACACTGCTACTCAGTGCTTATGATTAATAATGTTATCTTGTAGCTAATTTTATTCCTTGCCCCTCTCTTCTCCTGCCTTCCAATTTGGAAGCACACTTAATTATGAAAACATGAGCACTAGACTGTGAATTTTGATATATTAATTTCACCATGGTTTTGTTTCTACACTGCACCACCAAAGCTCTCAAGGACAACCAGTCAAGGAGACAATGAAAATCATAACACCTGGGGTAATTTCCTTAAGCAAAGTCAACATTAGGCAATTTCTTACTCACAAATTTCATTACATTACTGAAACCTATAACCATGATGCACCTTGCTCCTGTTTTTCAACACCACAATTCCCTTTGATGACTGAAGCCAGAGCAAGAACTCAGTGGTTGGTTTGCTCAGGGCTTTTTTGAGGACTAGAGCTGGAGATTACTGATTACTAAGAGGCTGGCAAGACAAAACCAAAATGAGCAGAAGTGGATAACCAAGACCATACTCCTGAGCCTTCACTCAGCAGCAGGGCTGTTCCTAATTTCATGCCTGACCAAGGGTGCACGGATGCCTTGCCAGGGTGGGGTCTAGCCCAACACTGGCCCAGCCATCACATTCACCATTCCTTTATTGACTCCTCTCTGCTCCTTTGTGATTCTCCACTCTAGAGCTCTGGCCTCATTGTTTCACTGACACCTCACTGCCCAGTGTGTGCATTTATTCTTTAGCTGCCACTCGCCCACAGCTCCATCCAGACAACAGCTCTGACACTTGCATGCTTATTTTGTTGTCTCCCTGAAGCTGTTTTAGTTACTCAGAGAGAAACATGAGGCGTGGCATTAGGGCAGTGTTAGAAATATAGCTCTGTGAATAGTGACCTTTTTGATCTATTGGCTGTTCCAAAATCGCTATGAAATGATTAGCTCAGAGTTGGCTTAATGTAAGTTTGCATATATCCTAGGCAAAATGAAAAATAAAACTCTGAGTTGATAGAATTATTTCCCTTCAGCTTATGTAATTAAGGTTTAAAATAAAAAATATCTGAGTAATTTTGAAACCCCATTTTAAAAATAAAAATTAAAACCATTTCCACTGAGAAAATGTCTAAATGTACACTCTCATTTTTTCAAGCAATTGAGGGCAAGGTTTGCAACTCCAGCAAACTAGGAAAAAGAGAGACAGATTTCCCAGCCTTTCTAATGCCACACATGAATTAGCATGATGATAATACTAATGATACTTTTTAACTGGAAAAGCTTTAGGTCAATTATTTTTCCCAATTCTATTTTTACTGAAGTATGAAGCTGTAAAACCCCAGATGGAATAACATAAGTTATAATGGCAACAAAATGGATAACTGTGTTTCTAAACTTGGTCTAAATTGTGCATATTCCAAAATTATAAACCAGAGTGTTTCATACACTTTTTCAGAGTAATAACCACCTCAGTCACTTTGAGATAAATGTCTTGCTGCAGAAATTGAGTATCTAACATTTGTAATGCTTCTCAAACTACAGCACCTTTAAATAATACAACATTCATTAAAATAGGAGAGTAGAGCAAATTACTGTACCAAACATCCTCTGCATCTTCGTCGCACTCTGCCCCAAACTGGCAAATGTCACAGGTCGATGTCTCTTTTTGATTGGTTTCACCTGAGCCTTCATTGACTGTTTGATGGAAAGCAGAAGAACATACATCAGTAAAGACAGCACTGTAGCAAAGCACTTCTCTCTCTCTCTCTCTCTAGAAAAATCTATTCACTGCATCAGCTTAATGCCCTGCTCACAAAGCTGATGGCTGGCCAACAGAGTTCCTGAGTGGGCCAGCACAGAGACTTCCCTGCTGGCCTGTGATAAATCCCCTCAATTACAAAGTTAAAAGGAAAACCAGAGAAAAACCCTTCCTTTTCCCTCTCCCCTTAAACAATGACCCCTTCAAGCTGCAGCCCAGGAAGGTCATGTCCCCATTGAGTCCTAGTGCTTTGTTCCCTGGGAAAATAATGGAGGGGCACTGACAGCATCACATGCTGCCTCGTGTCCTTTACCCATGAAGGCCTTGAGATGGCCCCAAGGGGATGCTTTCCTCCAAAATGTTTTGAAATTACCTGCTGTGTGGTGCAATCTAGCCCACTCCAAAGGCAAAATATTTTTCTCTGCAGAAGCACAGCTATGAGCCCCAAGGACTAGTTATCTCTGGCAGGGAAGATTTAGTGCTGTCCAGAGGAGAGGACAATCTCCAGCATAGGTTAAATGTGAAACCAGGGGAAAGTCAACACTGATGTCTGCAATTGTGTAACGTTTTTACCTGGCCCGTAAGGCAAAAACAAGAAGGGACTAAAGCCAAAATAAAAATATGGGTGCAAGATGACTGCAAAAAAATACTGATGGCTGAACACTGAAAGACAGAAAGAGACCACTAAGGGAGGCACCAAGAAGAAGGTTTGTTAAAAGATCCAAAAGAAACATTATCTATGCTTCTACTGAAGTGTATAAGCAGCCTTTGATATCTTTTGAAAGACGCCTCTCTCTAGCAAGACACCGTACCCAGCGATATCCTTCTGCCAGATGCAGAGTTATTAAACCAGCACAGACTCTCAGCATCAATCAGCTCTGACTGATGTTGTTATCTGCACCAACAGCTGCTGCAGTGCCACCTCTCTTGCATTTGGTGCAGGTTTCTGCACACCTGGGTGCAACCCACCAAAGCTGGCAGACACATTGGAGTGTAGTAGTGATGTCGAGATGGACTGAACTGACACCACCATCAGGCCTTTATTAAAAACTTTACATGCCCTCTTTCAGTGCGTTTCTCTCAGGCAACTCTGACTCCTTTGCTCACAGGCAGCTCCACACAGCACTGACTCCTCTCTGTGTGACTGGGTAACCCCGAGCTGTCCCTTACCTGGCCACCTAACCCTGTCTGTCCCTACACAGCATCTTCTTACCTTGTGTGTCCCTTGCACAACCACACGTCCCTTCCTCCTCACAGCACAGCCAGCAGACTCCATCCCAAACCACAGCAAACCCTGACTATCTGAGCCACTCTTTTATAACCCCATCCTCATTGGGCAGGCAAGGCTGTTTCCACTCCTCAGCAATCAGTACAGCTGTAATCCACTGGGAAAGATTGCCCTCTGCACTATCCTTACAAACTGTTCTCCTACACTGGACTATGTTGGTAGCCCCAGTGACGTCCACTGGGCAAATCATCTGCCTGATGTACATCCAGGTTGTTACCAGAGGCTTTTGTGTCAGAGCACTCTGACTTTGAGTAAGCTCCTTTTGTTATTTACTCAAAAAAGGACGAGAATCCCAGGATTTCACAAAGCTGTTTGAGGAGAAAGGGCTCTTGCCCCTAGAAGAGCAAGTGTGACTCCAATGCCTGTTTTTCAACAAACTTGCTTCCCTAGCTTGGAAAAGTTATGTAACCTCTGCCCTGCTTCCCACTATGTGATAACAGGAATAATATAATTTCCTCCCAGCAGAGAATGTGGAAACAAGTATATTAAAATATTGTGATATGCTTAGATACTGCAGTGATAGAAATCATAGAAATACCAAAGGTAGATGACTTATCTAAAATGTTTTTTCCTGAGCCTTAATATAGTCAAAGGAAGTGTTGTTATTTTTAGGTATGGACTATGCTGCATTAATTTCTTATCAGTCATTCTTGAATTTAGATTATATTAAAATGAAAAAAAAATTCCCCTATGAAAAGCATTCTGATTATCTGATTATCCCAAAAGGAAAAAAAAAAAAAAAAAAAAAGAGGGAGCTTTGCTCTATTTGTACAAATTTGCTCACCTTTATATCCATAAAATTCATGTACAAAAAACCAAAGGGGAAACCAGGAAAAACACACTCTGGATTTTTGTTCTGCTGCATTGTCAGGCTTTACAGGGAGGGTCTGAGCTGTGATTTTTCTGTTTCCTTAAAAGACTGAGAAACTCTGTAGGCTCACATGTTATAAAAGCCAATGTAGGAGGGTGGACAAGGAGACCAAGTGCCACATCCTCACACCATTATCATCTCCATGTGCTGCCTGTGTGATTCTGGCCCCACAGCATCACGAGGCTCATGATCCTCCCCACCTCCCTGCAGCTGCATCCAGGCCTGCAATGTTTAATTTACATTTTAAATATAGAAATCCCTTTTGCTGAGGAGATAACTTTGACAGCCAATCGTGGCAGGGGATTTCCAGTGGTTAAGATAATAGGCAGGACATGTAAGGAGTGACTACGGGACCTATGGGCAGATGACTTCTCACAACAGCCAAGCATTCCTCACCTATCAAAAACATGACAATTGCTCCAGTTCAGGAGGGTGAGAATATATGCTTTATGGAATGGAGCTTTAATTTCTTTATTTTGTTATTCTGCAAATCACTTCCCTTGCATTTCCTTTTAATTTAAAACATATGCCCTGCTTTCTTCCTCCCTGTAATGTTTCTATTCATAACTACCCAGCACATGTCACTGGTCTAGGGACCTCACATGGTTCTACATCACAGGATAAGTGAAATAGCTACTTAAACCATTCAAAAAGGCATTTGAAAGACTGAGCATGTTGAAGAGAAGTAACTGATTTGGAGAAGATCATCTACTCCATGGCACATTCCAGTTCTGAATTTCTACTTGAAAATAATAGGTGACTCCTTCATATTTTTCTGAAGGAGCCCTGTGACCAGCTTTCCACAGACAATGTGCACCTTGTCACTAAATGTGCAAATGTGCAGCAGTCTTCACTAAAAAAGACAGCTGTTTAGCTCCCGTTTATGCTCCTTCTGTTGTCAGTAACACAGATAACATTATTCTTTACATTTCTTAAAGGTGTGTTTTCTCTCCCTACACAAACATACCCACTGGCAAATGCACCCACACTCACAACTGACACACACAGGGCTTGTTTTCTCCATGCTGTGCAGATAAGTGCTTTGATAAATCAGACATCTTACAACGAGTTATTTTCCCAATATTTCCTGCTGCTTTCTAGCTTGAGGACTAGTGGATGCTTATTTTCTAAGGTGACTCTTTTTCCTTTTTTCCCCCTCACTGCACTTGCTGATTTGCACTTCTTTTCCAACCCAACTGGAAAAAATTGTTAGCAAAAAATAATCGCGTTTCTGGATTCCTCTTCTAAAACAGAGAATGAGTCTTCTTCTCATGCATGTTAGGTAGTTTTCATATTAGCAGCTACTGAGGTTTTAACACCAAGGCTCTGCAGGAACATAGTAGGGCTCTAGGGAGGCTAATCACTGAAGCCCACCACTTATTACTCACACAATTGAGAAATGTTAAGGTGCAAATTTCCCATTTGTATTAGCAAGATTATCAACTTTGAGAGTCCAAAGAAATGTGTTACAAGGGTTAGAAGGTCACTAACATTATCTGAAAGTCACTTCAGAGACTATGTCAATCTCCTAAGCAATATAAATTCTCAGCTGTGAAGGCACTACACACAATTTACAGAGTCAATGGACTGTGGTAACCACAACAGCTCCTGTTTTAATCATTTGGTCCTTCTCTGGCATTCTCACAGTGCCCAGATTAGACAGCTGTGATTTCAAGAACGTCTGTATTGTTTGTAGGTCCCACAAGAAAGAAACCATTTCTGAGGCATTTTACTCTGTCTCCCTAGCTGAAAAAAAAAAATAGATTGAAAGCTTCATTGGTAGATTGGTCTGACCCTGTATTTATTTCCTGTAACATCAGGAGAAAACTAAAAGCCCCAAAAGTGCCCACTCCCACTGTAGACATCTTTAGTTTCTCTTTACACTTAATCTCTTTGAATCAAGTCTTCTGTAGGTGCTACAACCCCAAAAAATCATGCTAGGACTTTACCCACACAGCTTTCCCAGACTCATGCTCCATTAGGAGCAGGATCGATGGTTTGGAGGTTTTAAAGCATAGACATCATAATCTCTGTGCTTGAGCTTCTGCATAACCCTTGCTCAGTGTCCTCCCAAGGTGCCTGATGAGTGGCACAGCTGGGATGGAAATAAATTCCTTGCAGTTTCCAGAAAAGCAGCTCCAGTGGGATGGTTAGGGACGTGCACAGCATCTCGGTCTGGTACACAAAGTGCCACAGGGGACATGCCCCACAGACCATGCTGTGAGGAGTGAACTGGTGAGCCATCAGAGTGAGAGAGGTGGCAACACTGGCTAGACACAGATCTCTGAACGTCTCTTTGCTAACACGCCTCTGGGGGTAATAGGGCAAACTCAAGAAAGCCTCAGCTCAGTCTTCACATAGCTTTTTAGGACTATTCTAACAATCCTTATTCAATGCATTTCAACTACACAGGAGAAAACAACAAAGAAACAATATAAAACATCACCACATGCTTGAATATACAAAATATGACTATAATGAATTATGAATTATGACTACTCTTATGTAGTCTTCCTTTGATCGATGTGATCAGACACGTGCTCATCACAACCCCTGATTCTGACTTGACTCCTCATGGTGGGATATCTTTGCTGTTCTTGAAAGAAAAACTTCAAAAAAAAAAAAAGGCTTGCTCTAGCTCGTCCTAACAGGATACACGCTTGTTTTCAGCTATAAAATCCAGGTAATAACAATAATCACATGGACATGATGGAGCTGATGGCCATTTTTGTATTGCAGAATTAAAGACAACGTGCAAATTAAAATGTAGTGGAGGA